TCCCTGCTCCCCCCATCTGGGATCCTTAATTGGCAAGATCTAAGCAATAATATGCCCAGGCTAGATCCAAGTCTCTAAATGCCATCACATTTAGGCTCTTTGAAAATAAAAATTGGCATGAGTCTCCAGAAGGCAGCTTGGGAATATGTTTCAAGAGCTTGAAATGTGTCCAGTTCAGATCCTTTCATCTAATGATTTTACTTGTTATCCTAAAGAAATAATCAGAGATGTGATAGAAGACTTATGTATAAAGATCTTCAACAAAGTGTGATGCATAATTGCAAAAAAACAGAAGTCACTGCACACTTTCTGTAATACAAGATTGGTTTCATATATCACACTATAGCATAGTGAAGCCTAACAAAGTGTACAGATTGTTAAAGCTTAATCTTTTCAAATAATTTTGATGATGTGAGAAAATGTTCACAAAATAATGTTAGATAAAGTGATTTATTTTTCAGTTTAATCCAGCTATGGATATATACACTTATTTGCAGAGAGGAAAACGCTGGGTAGAAATATACTATGGTTGTATTAGTGGTTACCTGTAATCAGGAAAAATAAAAAAGGTTTTTTTTTATGAAAAGGTTTCATTTCTCATTGAAGCAGCAAGCCCCTATCAGAGGCTGACTCAGAAGTGACCCCGTTACACTGTTCCTCCTGTCACTTCCTCCGCACACACTGATGCACTACAAGCTCCTCACTGCCCGAGACCCATAGCAGCTTTGACATAGGTGAGCCGGGGAGCATTCCAGCCCCTCAGCAGCCCACCGGGGGGCTAGGGTTTTCTCGCTGGGCAACAGGATCTGTGTCACCACTGTAAGGACCATGTGCCACTCATGTTATCGTTCAGCATTATGAGCTCAACAGGAGCCTCAGGAATTGGCGAGCTCTTGCCCGGACATGCAGAAGCTCGTTTATTCATTTGGCCTAGAGGTATTTATTAAGCATCTGCTGTGTGCCAGGAGAAGCTCTCACTCATCCCACCGCCACTGCTGCGGGTTGTTACTTGAAGGGAGCTGACTGACGGGGCTGAGAAGGCAAGTGCAGGATAAAGCTGCGGGTTCCACGTGGACAATAGCTGCACCCTGCTGTCCGCTGCCTGGGGGTTGGAGTCATGATCTCACAGAAGGCTCCCTCTCTCTCTCTCTCTCTCTCTGTCTCTCTCTGTGTTCTCCAGATGGAGGTGATTGTCGGGGACTTTGGGATCGTGGTGGTGCCCCGGGACGCGGCCGACACAGACCGAATCATGAACCACTCCTCAGTGCTCCGCAAATACAAAGTGAGTTCTCCATGTCCCTGCTGGGGGAGCTCTGGGACCTGGCCCTTCTCTGAGAGGCCTGGGGGCTGCCAACCTGCTCTCTCTGCTCTGTCCCCAGAACAACATCATGGTGGTGAAGGATGACATCAACCATCCCATGTCTGTTGTCAGCTCAACCAAGAGCAGGTACGTGTGACTCCTCACATGAGGAGGGAATGGGGAGCAGCCAGACCAAGGCTAGGACAGATGGGCTTACACAGCTTGCCCGGGGTCCCTCAGCTAGGAGGTGGCAGAGCCAGGGTGAAAGGGAGCCACCAGGGTGGGGGAGAAGTTGTGGGGGCCGGAGGGCATTTCCTAATCGGGGTTCCTCGTACTTGGCCCAAGCAAAGGCTGGCAGTGGGGTGCTGGGCAAACCCTTTCCCTGCAAGAGAGTGGGCAGGCCAGCCCTGCTGCCTCGCTTCAGGAAAGGCTGTCCCTCTGATCACCCTCTCTTCCCATCAGGCTGGCCCTGCAGCATGGGGACGGCCACGTCGTGGATTACCTGTCCCAGCCCGTCATTGACTACATTCTCAAGAGCCAGCTGTACATCAACGCGTCGGGCTAGCGGCCACACAGCCCCTGCTCCACTCCCCCCGTGTCCTCCGCCAGCACACTGGCCCCTGCGGCCCCTCCGGTCCCCGTCAGTCCCTGTCTCTCTCCTGCCTCTCTGTCCCTCCATCTCATCTTGACTGTTCTCCCGGTCGCCGACTCGAGCCCCCACAGTGTGGGGACCTGCAGGAACCACGGCATCCCTCCTTCGCAGTCATCTTTGGACAGCCTTCCTCTGGTCTCCGGGTTGGGGGTGGGTAAGGGAATAGGGGTGGGAGCTGGGGGAAGTGCCGTCCTTGGAGATGTGCTGGTGTCCATCTCCCAGCATGCTCTAGAGAGTGGCTCTGGTGCCCATCCTCCCAGCATGCTCTGGGGAGGCGGCTCTGGCTCTCGCCTTCCCAGCATGCCCTTTACCACAAAGGGCTATTTTTTTTCTTCTCTGTTTTTTTGTTTGTTGTTGTTTTGTTTTGTTTTGATTTTGATTGTCGTTCACGCCTCATAGAACTTGGATGAAATCAGTGTCCGTGGTTCTTCGTGTTCGTGGTCTTGACACATTCCCGTGGCATCACTTTCCCGTGATAAGATGCTGTGGGCAGCCCAGCAGTGAGGGAGTGAGGGCCACGCCCAGCGAGGAAGGCCAAGGCACCTCCACCTTCCCGACATGCCCCACCCGCCCACCTACCAACACCCCCACCCCCGGCCAACAGCAGCAGCAGTTTGGGGTCAGGAATGAGACTTTCAAGTTCTGAAACCTGGGAGGCAAGTCTGGGTTTCTTAGGAGAATTTGAGTCCATCTCCCTAGTTTCAGAAGGCCATTTTCCTGACGCTCTGGGCCTCGGCTCACACAGAGCCGGTCCATCCCCATTTCCTGGTGGCATCCATACAGTTACTCCTTTGGGCTGTGACTGATGGCAGACTATGGGTCTCCTGCCAGCCAAGGCATTTCCAAGGATGCTTCAGATCACCATGGAAGCCTTTGGAGGCCATACTGAGCTACATTCTTGCATCTGAGAAGAGTCACCTATGCAAGGCCAGGTCCTAACGATGCAGTCATTTCTGACATAAGACATGCTAGGAATTCACTCATCCCTGGGGGTCTTTGCTAATTGCAATTATATATTACCTGTTTGGCTGGGACATGTTTGTGTCATAATGTGAGTCCAGGATGATGTAGGATAAAGTGATTTGTTGCACTGATAGAAATTGATGGTCTTCACCCACTCAAGCTGGGGTAACACAGCCTGAGGTCAATTCTTGAGAAGCAGTGCCTTGGCCTTGTTTCTGAGGCCAGTGACCATTGTCATCACCTGAGGAGATCTGCCTGGCCAAGAAGTGGGTTCACAGAACAGAAATCGTGAGGGACATCAAGAGCCACTACAGTTTCACCCTTTTTCTCCCTAATTTCCCACCTTCCTCTGCTGTCCCTGGAAGCAGTATTGATAGACTCTGTTCCAGTTTTCAGGCCCCATGCATGTCCTCCTTGGAGAGTCAAAAGGAAACTATTCTCTTGTGCACTGTGTCTCTCATCCAGTCTCTGGCTCTTGGGTTTCCAGTTGTCTTTGAAGAACTGTCCCCAAGCAGCAGGACAATTTTATCAAAATTTAGTATCAGCTATGGCCCAGGAGGGGTTGGGTGAGATCTGGTACCAAGAACAATGGTCTTCACCACTCACTTTACATATGTAGCCTCCTTCAGGAGTCTCCAGTGAGGAATGGATTCAGCGGAAGAGCATGGCAGAGCAGCATCCAGGAGGGTGTCGTTCCTCTTGGGTTTGGGAATAATCTCCAGAGGAGGGAAGGAAGATTCTATTCTTAGGTCTTAGTGCTTGGCTAAGGATCCCGGATTCATAAATGAAAAGAACTTTAGACATTAGCCGATCCAACATTCTCCTTTAAAAGATGAGGAAACAGAGAGCCCCTGAATTAAATGGCTGGTCCCAAGTCACACAGCAAGAGTATTGTTTCCCTGACCCTCAGGTTATCACATCACATGCTCTCTGCCCCTCTGGTTCCCATGGTACTAACCAGGTAATATGTGGTTTCTACTCTTCTCAGCCTTTACCTGGCATCTTTCTCTTAAGTTGTCTGACTCAGGTGCTGCCCAAACATGGCTTTGTGTGTGGCAGTCCTGGGGGGAATGTGACGGTGAGGAAGGCCGTAGGTAGTTTCCCATAGAAATCAAGAAACCGCAACAGCGTGGAGGAAATCCTAGAAAGGGACTCTCTGAATCCAAGAAAGGACTGCTTTGTGGAAGGCTAGGAAAGACCCAAATACTCAAGATGACACTAGTGTTGGAGGGAGAAAGACAGAAGAGCCTCTGTCTAGGCAAAGAAACAAAGGAAAACAGGCAGCGGGGTTCCCTGGGGGAACATGGCATCTCCTAGGATATGGAGTTTATGGGTGGAGTTTATCAAGAGGATCCACATGAGCAGATCTGAGAAAGACAAGATAACTTTAGTCTCTTCAGTCTCTGTTACTCTGCTGGACTCTGTGGTCAAGCCCCATTTAGCCCACAGCCCATGAGAGAGAACTGGGCTGCACTGTGCACCCAGTGTGGGGCTGGGAAGACGCATAGGAAGGGGAGCTAAGGAGAAAAACGGGCGATAGAAGTAGATTTCTAGGAATGAAACGGCTGGTCTCATCTTGGTACGTCATAGGGATCTTGTTATAATAGCTTTAATACAAGGAAAGTGAACCTCTTTTTCAGTAGAATTGCCCATTCCCCATTCTGCCCCATTCTTTGTTTGCTAGTGGGAGGTTAGAGCCCCTCTCAGTCCAGGGCAGGACATCGTGGCCTTGACCCGGCCAATGTCAACACCAGAGAGATGATTCAGAGTTTGAGCTAGTGCCCCAGGTGCCAGTAGGCTAACCTCTAGGCTCTGACCTCCCCTGTGGGGTCCTGCTGCTTCCTGCAAAGTCTAACCCAGGGCTGACATGGCTCAGAGGTTGTGAGAAAGGCATGGGCTGGAGTGATCATATCAGGAGGGATCTGGAGCCGCATTTTCTGTCTACCAATAAAAAACATTCCTCCCATTTTCCTGAAAGTGGCTGATATGAATAAGAACAGGCAGGAGGGAAGCCCTCTGTGTTAATGACTGTCTCCTCAAGGAATGGCCTTCTGAGGGGTGTCTGTGCTGCTAGCTGGTACCTCATTCGCCGCCCCCTCCCCCAGGCAGCCTCTCTCGCTCTCATTTTCCTTGAATGTACATAGGAACCGGGGAGGGAAGTCTCTTACTGAAGTGCCTGAAACCCAGAGCTAGAGCTTCTAGAGACACCGTTCTTCGGCCTCAGCTTGGCCTACTTTGCCCCAGCGTTCTCTGGTCTCATGCTCCAGCTTCTCCAGCAGAATAAAAGAACTTGCTATTCTAATGAACTAGAAAGCGAGACCCAATAATCAGTGTACAGCAAAGGCAGAGAAGTACAGGGAGAAACAAGTTGTATCTTTACAGCCCAAACCTATTCACCCAAACTACACACACGCACGTACGCATACATACACTTTAGGGGACTAAGACAGAGAAGCATGTTATACTTTATTCATCAAAAGAGTGATGCCAAAACCAATCAGTGGGATGTGAGAAGCTCAGGACCTCTCCCACGGCCGCTGCAGCAAGGCCAACAGAGGAGATGGAAAGGATGGAAACGGGGACCGATTTTGTAGCTCATCCTGTTAGGACACCTTAGGAATAGCATTGTGGTGATGATGAAGATGCTGTGTTGAATTCATGCCGTCTGCGCCTTCCTAGAGCTGCTCAGTAAACTCAACTCATGGTTTGTTGTGCAAGTTGGGAGCATCCCATTGACCTGTTCCATTTAGTTAGGACCATGTCCCACGTTTTCCCGCCTCAGCCCCAGGACCCAGAACTCAGCTTGACCCAGGAGGCCTCAAGGACTGGCATGGGGAGGAGGCAGCTTTTTTTGAATCACCTTTTGGTCACTGATTCTGCCATTTGAAGAGTAAGATTTGCTTTATGGAAACCAATTCATTGATAAAAAAAACTACATCCTAGTTGCAACACCATTTCACAGTGAAATATTTTGAGTGAAATTTTGTTGCTTAGAATAGTCACAGACAAAAGTTTTATCAGCAATATGTTTCAATTATGTTAATAAAGAAGATAATGCTACTCGAGTCTTGTGTCTTGGTCTAGAATCTTCTCAGTGGGCTGCAGAATTAATCACTTTTTTTTCATAGTCCTATTTGACAGGAGACAACAGCTGTAAAAATGTGCTTAGAGCAGATTTTCCGCCTGGTTTAGCTGATGCGACATGTGTGATATGAAAGTATATACAAACACACCACACACCAAGGGTCATAAGCAGGGAAGAATAATTAGCAATTTTGTGAATTGTGCCTAAGTTTTCTCAGTTAAAAAAATTAAAATCTTAGATTCTACCTAACCTGCATAGTCTGGTTTTGGTTAGCTTTGGCTCCTTAATGAAGTTAGTTCATTATGAAATAAAAATACATTTCTAAAAATTATAAACTTGAATAGCTTTTTGGCATAGAAGGTCTGAAGTAAGGGAGAAGTTGCTAAACTCGCACTTGGCAATGTCAAAAAGCAAAAAAATGAATAACTTGTTCATTGCCCAACCTGCTGCAACTCTTAGTTCTTAGGTCATCTTTAGTTGTGACATACACAATGTGTTGGTTTAGGTCTAAATGGCAATTGTCATGAGCTGATTATCAGCTGTGATTCAGAAGGCGAAATAGCAATTTCCTGTTAGGTCAGCTCTTTTAAGTCTTAGCTACTTGTTTGTCAGATAAGTTGTGGTTATTTTTTTTAAATCATTTTAGTTCTTAGAATTTTGTTTAAAATTGAGATTAGTAGGCTTTGTGGGTATCCTTGTGGATTTGGTGGCACAGGATAATGAAGCTCGATATGCCTTGTAAATTGATTACTGGCTTTATGTTTGTTTTTTGGCACAAAGCTAAGCATTTTTTTTCTCTGTCCTAAAAGTATATAATGATGATGCTAACTTTCACTAACTTGTCAAATAGATATTCTAAATAGGAATTAACATATATGTACATATACATTTAAGCTTCAGACCTTGGAATTCCCTAGGAAGTTTCACGTAGCCCATAGTATAACAAAAGCAGAGAAAAAATATTGAATCTCTGCTTTCCAGGTGGGAAAACGGAACTATGGCAAGAACCCGTAACATTCCCATGACCATGCAGAATATTAAAAGAAAACACGATAAACATATCCCTGGTCCTCCTTGAGACTTGTTCCAAACATTGGACATGCCTATCTTCCTACCCTTTCCTCCAGCCTCCCAAGAGTACTAGAGGGAAACCACATCCTGGGATGAGACCAGAAATACATCTGCTGAGTTCTAGCCCATGGGCAGTTTCATTTCTACCCCCCTCTCCACACAGAAATCCCCGTGAGTCAAAGTAGATGGTGTGTGTAACCGCCTACCATCAGCACAATTCATCAGCAAACTCTCAGAGGAGAATTAGAAGAAAGTTTCCACTACGAGTTACAAATACTGATGAGAAATAGGAAGAAAAG